GGGCCGGGACACGCCGGGGCTGGGGCTGGGGCACCCAGGGGCACCCCGGGGCCGGGGCACCCCTGGACTTCGCTCCCGCTCCGTAGCCCTGCGAGCGCAGGAGGCTGCACCTTGCGGACGGGGGAACCGGCAGCTCGTGTGCAGGGAGAGCTGCCTGCATCAGGCCCCACAGGTTTCGAGTTATTACCGAAGAGGGAAGAAATGTTTTAGTACAGTAGGGTTTTCAGTTATTAAAAAAAACCCACAACAGGCAATCAGAAACAGCAAAACAAAATCCACAAGCCACAAGAGGCGTGTGCTTTTCCTTAGAAATGAATAAAATGTGATCAGTGTTCAGAATGTTGTCTGATGTAAACGTCAGGACAGCAGGCCTGGAGCAGTAGGTTCTTCAGGAGGGAAAGGTTTAGTATGAACGGTGAAGGGCAGCCTTGATTCCATGAGTACTGGATGGAAAGAGTATAAAAACTTAATTAGACTCATGTAATAAATAGTCCTTGACTGTTGTCCTTTAAATATTCGAACTGGGAAGTCAGAGAAGAAGCAGTGTTACTTATGCTGTGAAGATGATTATTGCACAATATGAAAAGCACAGTTACAGAAAATCACTTAACTAGAGCTTCTGCATGCACAGTTGTCTCATTTTTTTCATTATTTTTTGTATTCAGGAAAGACAATCACCATGTCGTCTGCACTGCTGCCTAAGCCGCAAATGCGGCGCCTTCTGGCCAGGAGGATGAAGATGCACCTGTTTGGGGCATTTTTTGTATCTCTGGGATGTGCAGCTTTATACAAGGTGAGATCTATAGTCATTCAACTGTGAACTGGACTCTTTATAAAAAGTGTTTTAAGAATTCATAATATTGTTGAGGTTTGGTTGAGTTGTTTGTCAGAAAGCTTTAGTAATGTATTTTTGTAAGCATGTTTCCAGAACATAAATAAACCTTCCTAATCTTCATTTGAAGAAACAAAATGAAGAACTTGATGCCTTAAGCTGTGTGATGAAGATCATGCAATTCGTAACAACTTAACCTTGAATGTCCTAGTCCTAGACTGCTGTTGGTCATTTGCACAACTGATACACATTAACTCCTGATAGTCTGTTACTGGTGTCCAAGAGTCTAGGGAGTTGTCAAGAGTCTTATTTTACCTCTGAACTGGTTGCAGAAAACTTGCTCCTAAGCAATTCAGAAAACCCATCCTTTACACTGCAGATACCAGTGTGAGGAAGGCGAGGATGGTCCTTCCATGCTTTCTTTTGAAGTATATGTATAAATGGAACATTACATTTAAAAACAAATCCCACTTACAGACTGGAATTTGGTTTTTTTGTGATCCTGAAGAGATTTATGACAAAGATAAGAGTGGTGACTGTTCTTGGGTTATTAAATTTGTTACATAATTCTTGGATCTTGTACACAAAGCAAGCAACACAGTTTGAATTCACATAGAAGAACTGGATCTTGGTTTGCCCGTTGAACTCATTCATGCACTAATTGCAGCATTTGAGAACTCATGAACCTATTGATAAAAGTGACTACAAATTAAGTTAATTTCAGATTGTTCACAAAAATATCACCGTGGACTTAAACTTCTCAGAGATCAGCAGTTGTTTATCAGACACAATAAACTTGCACAGTTGAAGTTCAGCATCTACTTAACACATCTGTTAAGAGGTAGGCAAGCTTGTTTGTGGTCTGACATCCAGTATACTTTTTTGTGATAGTCTGTGGTTTTATACCTCATTTGGCACCTCCACATCAATACATTGGTAATGCAGCAGGCCATACTTGGAAGAAGTGACATGGATCTCAGTAGTGATTGATTTCAAGATATGCTAGATACTGTTGGAGAATTCCACCTTGGACTTCCCTTCATGTTTATGGGGGGCTTTTTGAGCATATCCCTATTCTTCAAGTGAATGAGTACCCAGGATCAGGATTGTCTCTTTGTATGTCGTTTAGCTGTAAGATTGGCTTGGTCTGGTAAAATGTTACCAGACTTCTGTAGTTGACCTGCAGTGTTGGTCAAATGTAACACATTATTTCAGAATGCCACTTATCTGGAGTTACAGTTCTGCAGCTGCCCACGGGCACAAAACTTGCCATAATGTGTGTTTCAGGTGTAAAACTCTTAGCAGGCTGGGCATTGGACACTTGGAGTGGGAACAATATGGGTGCCTTGTTTCTAGATCTTGAAAGTGTGATTTGCAATCGTGTAACAGACTTTCATTTTAAGGTTTCATTTCAGACATTTGGCCACGTAGCCTAAACTGTGGATTTGAACAAGAAAAAAAGTAATGTTTTACTCCTTTGAGCTAAAGGCTTGTTAGACTGGTAGCCACTGGTACAAATCATAGCATTAATAGAATTTAAAAAATAATTTGTTCATAGAGCTGTGGGTCCTTCAATATTCTGCGCATTATTTTCCAGTTTGGAGTTGCTGAACCCAGAAAACGAGCTTATGCAGAGTTCTATAAAAACTATGATCCTATGAAGGACTTTGAAGCCATGAGAGCAGCTGGTGTGTTAGAGTCTGCACCACCCAAATGATGGCAGCCTGCATCTACAGGTAATAAGCTGCTCTGCATGAGAACAAGAGTAAGTTAGATTGTTTCAGTGAAACCTTGTGCTTCTCTTTGGAGGTTCTTCCATTTTTATCAAGCGGAAAGATGATCCCAGATAAAAAGGATACAAGCTGCATTGGAGCAACCCCTCAGTACTCAAAACACAAAAGCATATGCGGGAGTAAGGGCAGAGCAGAGGCTCATGAATAACTTTTGGGTGTTGTGTTTCACTTGCCTGATGTGGGACACTTGCACAGGGTGGTTCTAGGCCTTCCCTTCCTCACACAGATGTGTCCAGAATAGTTCTGTCTTTGCATGGAGAGGAGGCAAAGCTCTTGTGTAAGACTATAAAACTTGCCTGGTACCACTGTTATGTTGGTGCTGTCACATCTTGATCTGCTTAGCTCTGGGCTGTCCATACTACTTATGTACTTGTTGTGGTACAGCAAGTGAGAAAATGGAGCTACTGTTTCTCTCTCATGGCTGGCATTTTAATATAAGAAAAAGAGACAGCCTCCATGCATCCATCCTTTTGTCTTTTGAAGCTGAGAGGGAAAAGATAACTAGTCACAGGGGGAATATATATATGTGCATATATGTATAAATATATAGTAAGAAAATCACAGTGGCATACATCTCTGTCTAATAATATTCAGATTTTTGCCATACTGAATTAAGCTTGAATAGAACTTTTTTCACAATACTCTTTTCCTAGCACTTAAGACAGCCTTTTGTTTGGAGACTACCAAATTTTATTCTCCCTTGTCATAACACAAGGGAAAAAACCCCAAAAGACTGATTTCCACCTTGTTGTAGTTATCAATAAGCACAGTCATTAAACTGCACAAGCTCATGATGTGACAACTCAATAAAGAATTCCTCCCCCCTTCTTGATGGAGATTTCTTACACTGAGTTCTCTGTTTCTCTTAAAATGACTTCAAACTAATCTAGAGTGATAGCTTTTTCATTCTTTCAGAATGTTTTCATATTGTGATCATTACATGATAATCTGTGGCTCTAATTATCCTGGCCAGCTGGATTTTCTCAGCCTGTTTGCTTAAAGCAGCAAGATTGAATAAAACATTTGCACTTAACACTATTAATACTAAATTCTGTTATGTGACAAATCTAAAACTTTCTAGTTTCTGCATAACACAATTACTTAAAAAAAGCAGAGCTGCAGCTCTTTTAACAAACAAAAAAAAGTGATAGTCCTTTTGTTTGTTTGTTGGCTTTTTTTGTTTGTTTTTGTGAGAGGGGGAAACTTCTTTAGCTATGATTGCAGCAAAGATACATACTGAAATGATACATTTTCCTGGTTTTAATCCTGATAATTCTGCCTCTAGTTTGATCCTATTGCTAATATATAGGCACTTTTAAACTTTCTTAGACACTAGAATTGCATTCTTTAGTCAGGTGGCCTTCATCAGAGTATTCTGAAAGGCCATCTGGTGGTAAAATCATTTGAAACAAACACTGTCAGTAAGGATGCATGTTGAATATTTAATTGGAATCATAAGCAGGATTTTTTTCAGTGCAAATAGAGACTTACTCTCACTTTATGTTCCCATTTGCAGCGCAAAAAAAAAAAAAGTTGCATGTTGTGTGCACCTGTTAAAATTAAATGTTTCCTAAACATTTCTTCCATTCCTTAGTTACAACAGCACAAAAGAAAATGTGAAAGACAAATCTTCATATGTGATTTTGTTTAAATTGCTGATGCTTATTCCTTCACCTGTTTATATAAGAATTGTTATATTGTGCTCCTTCTTAGTAGAAGGAGGCTGGGGTTATTTTCTGCCTGCTCATGTATTATTTATGTATTCATAAATAGAAGAAGGGAAAAAAAATTCCAGTGTTTCAGATGTTCTCAAAAGACTGTGTGAAGGGCAAGTATATAGAACAGACAGAAGACATTTTCATTTGCCTCAGTAGCTTAGATTTTAGCTATGGAAAATGGATGGAAGTTGAATTTTTTGCATTTTTGGTATAGTAACCTGAAGAGGACAGTGGTCATGCATGTTCTACAGCTCCAATTTTATTGAAATATATTCTGTATGTAGCAGTAAATACAGTAATTTAAGCTAATATAACACTCACTCTGGAATCAGTACTTAGCCCCAAAATTGAGGAAAGAGTAGGCAGAGAGAATTCATGAGTTAAGGTCTTAGCTTGGAAGTCTGCACTGAGTTTGTTCCTGCTGGGCATGAGGGTAACTTGGTACCAAAGTGTGAATTTACAGTGTTTTGTCTACTTCACGTGGGGTTTGTGTGGTGATACTGGTAACAGAAACCAAGGTCAAGTGTAAATTTGTGGAGTGTCCTCCCTCTGCAGTGTGCTCAGTAGTAGAATGAAGGTGCAAGCTAAGAGTTTGGAGCTAACCACTTGCATGACTCTTGTTGTGGAGCACAGCTAGTCTTGGATTGGGTTCAAGGTACTGGGGAGAAGCAATTTGAATTTGGTTTTCTTCCTTCCTTGGTAGGTTGCCTACACCACTTGTTTCCTCTCTGGCTCCTATCTGTAAGCTGCATTCCTTTCTCTTTCAGGCCCTTAGCAAGATTGATTCAGTTATCAGTGCAGCATGTATAGTGGATCTGACGTGCTGTGCAGTATTGCTCCAGCTTTTGATTTGTTCCATGTTTCACTTCTGTTTGCCACATGAAGGGTGTGTGAATCTCAAACGATCAGGAAATAACAGGGGGAATTCCTCTATACTAAACCACCACATAAACATTTCTCTCTGTTGCTTTGCATTCATACATACTAAAATGTTTACTTAGAGCATGAAGTTTGTCCAACATAAGTAAATTAATTTTTTTTTTTAACTTTGCAGATCCCTTTCAGCCCAAGGAGCCTTGCTGACCCAATGGTATTTGTTCAGTGCAGTGTCCAGGGCACTGCCCTTCAGTGCATGACATGCTCTGATGTCTCCCAATAAATAAAAATGTATGTCACTGGTGCTTCGTTGTCTTCATTCATGTCACAATGCTGAAATGCTAAGATTCTGGGAAGAGTGGTGGAGACTCTTCATAAATTGCTCAAGATGACTAAGTCTGCTTTTCTTTCTACTTTCATCTTTGTTTTGGCCAAATTCCACATTTGGTAACAAAGTGTATCCCTATGCAATTACAGCTCTGTTGTCTTTGTTGTTGATGGGTATGCCAGAGGACAGTTTTGAGGGGAAGGGTGTGTGTTACCTCTGGCTTCAGAAGGTGAACTGACCTTGAGATGGAAGGATTTGGAGAACTGGAAATACACTAGCCAACCTTCCTATCTCTTGCTGCTGCCATAACTGTATTGCCTTCCTTACATCAGCAGACTTACAAACTATACTAATGCTTACTCTTCTACATGGAATGTTGGAAAATGACTCTTAAATTG